ATTCGAGAAGTAAGACCAGATAAAATAGTGATTGTACCAGCTATCGAAGAAGCAAGAAAGATTATAGCACACGTATTTGAACGAAGAGGTCGTTGAGATAAAATTAGAATATTGAGAATATTTCCCACAATACCAAAGAAAAAGATCAAAGTTCCAAAATAAAAGTTTATTTGAGAGACAATACTCTTTAAATATATAATAAGTTCAGCGTCCGATGTCGATGATGATGACATTTAGTTGTTTCATGAACAATGAGATTAGAAAACATGCCCTTTATCTTTCATATAGAGATAAATAGTGTTTCTACTATATATAGATATGTAGAATCCTAGAAACAGTCATTATTAAAAGACAAAAAAATAAAATATAATTAAGATAGCAGACATTTTTTTTGTTTTTCTGCAGAAAATTGCAACTTATATGGTTGCATTTTTATGTCATATAACGTAGTCTGCTAGGGTTTTAATTTTTCTGCCTCACTAAATCAAAAATTAATTTGATGATTCCACGTTGACAGATTTACTTGTACATGTCTAGAACACAAATAATATTAAAAAAAACAAGAAAAATCATACTAATTACTTTCATAACTAATATAAATTCAGTAAAGATATCTAGCAGAAACTCTTTTTAGTGAAAACAAAAAAAAAAGATGAATTAAACAGAAAATAAAACTACTTTCATCAAGAAGAACTCTTGAGATTGGAACAATCTTGTAGGCTTTTGTTTTTAAAAACTTTTAAACCTCTTCACTCAATAAAAGACGATGGATCTTCTATTATTTTTTTTTAGAGCACAATCTTTATCGAGAGATCTTCTATTATGAGGAGTCTTCTAATGTAATTTCCTACATATAAAGAACTCAATATTTTTTATAATTTTTTAGTTTGTTCACTATAATTATGTTTCAAATAGAAAGTAAACATACGAAAGAAATAAAAATAAAAATGAATTACAATTATATTTTACTTTTTCATAAACTGATTTTAAATTGTGTTCTTTCGTTTGTTTACTGTTAATGACGTTTAATAAATGTAAGTTCATATTTTCTTTTCATTATATTCTTCATTGTCATTATCATTGATTATCAAAGAAGCTAGTATTGATTGATCAAAATGAATTTTACTAAAGTATCGGAGTTTATTAAGGCAATAAAAACTTATTTCAAATCTTAGCCATTCAATAGAATATACATCTATTTATATATTGAAACGATATTAAAATATAATCCTTCGTATAAAAAGAAGGAAATGTTATTTTTACTCGAGCTTTTGTCATGAATGAACGTTCTCAAAAATAAAAAAGAAATAAACGAAACTTTTTTTTTTGCTTTTCTAAGTCTTTGTTTTCCATTTGTCCAGTTAATTTGATTTTCATGAAGTTTTTGATTATATTATTTTTTTAAATTTTAAGTCAAGAGATAATTTTAAAAAAATCCGATTTCAGGACTTTCCCTTCGTGTGATTGTCTGTTTTGGATAACTTCTCTCTTTGAATGCTAATTTACTATAAACTATTGCAACAGCATATATGCATATCTATATCATCAACATATTCTTCGCTGTGAACAACATCTAGTTTTTTTTCTATGAATCGATCAGATGGTGGTTTTTATTTATTTTGATTCAGAATATCGAAAATAGTCTCACATTTCATTAACAAATACGAAGATGAACATTTTCAATCGATTATGCATAATTTCCTGCAAATAAAAGTTACACACATACTGTTTAGTTAAAGTTGAAGTTTCAAATGAAATACTCAATAACATATTTAATATTTTTTGATAAAATTTTTTTATTATAGATTTTATTGAAAAGAAAAATTATTATTAAAACTGATAACTATGAAACAGAAAGTTCGATCAAATAAGAGATAGTTTCACCTCATTGTTTTTAACGATGTTAATAAAAAATGACAGAATACTTGATGTTAGTCAGTCTTTTAAATGACGTTGTCTAGACAAGAAGTTTTGTAGCAGAATATTAATATAAAATTTGAAGCATTAACTTCACATAATTCAAGTTGTTGTCAGGATCAAATTTCTATAATCGTAAATAGCTGTTGCAAAGAAAATGAAGAATGTGATGAAACAAACACCTCCGGTGGCCATTTTGTATGACTGTTCTTCAGTTGATAATCAAGGAACATTTAAATAATCAGCGGTTCATTTTCAGATAAAAACGGTCGTAATAAAAGCCATTGTCTTCTTCCATCTAATAAGCCAAAATTTTCTTCAGTAATATTTTCTTTCGTCATTGCCCATAAACCACCTAGTAAAGAAATTGAAACCTTTACAAATCTCATCAAGTTTAATTTAAAAAAATCTATCGAACTGTTTTAATCTTTACCGATTATCAAAAGAAACTGAATTTTTTGTGAAATTAATGTATATTGATTATTTTTAAGATGTAAAACTAGTGATTTGTTCAAAGGATTAATTCATTTTTGTTTTAAAACCGTTAGTTTTCTTTAACAAAAGAAGCTAAATCTTTTGTACTTAATTTATATCAAATCTATTTCAAATTTAAAACAAATCATTTGTTTCCATAGATTATGAAATAAGATTTCAGTAAATTTTTTAGGAATTTTCACGAAAAGAAAACAAACTTTGTAAGACTTGATATCGATCGATTCTATGAAGAATATAATAACGTTTCAATTATATATAGAAGTCACGAATTTTCGTATGATTATCGAGTTGAGTCAATATACTTTTGGCGATTCTTGCGTTTTCTTTTCTATCTATAAAGAACGTTAACGGCAAGCTTTTCATTAAATGATATCCAGCGCCTAACTTTTATGCAAAAGAACTTAACTAGGTTATACATAAAAAACAAAATAACATAACGACCCGAGACTAATCAACCAAATAAGAATAGTGACATCAACTATTTCATTTTGTCCAGCATCGCACAATACCAGAAAAAAAACATAATATTTTTGTAAACGAAAATCTAATCTTTAAATTGTTTACAGGCAAAAATTATTTATAATCATTTAGATTAAATGCCTCATTGCATTTCAAAGATGCTAAAATAGAAATATTAGCTTCTGTGAAACTTGAAAATTTCGATCTCATCGAAAATTACATTGAAACAGCACACATTCATCTGGTACTGTTATGGCAGGCATACATTCTTTCTCCAGTAACCGCATTAACAGATGGATATTTTTTTTTTTGAATAAAAAAGTGAATGTAGTTGATGAGTAGCTAGCATACTTGCGATCCTATCCTTGTTAAGAAAATGATAATGTGACGTGAATGATGATAAAAATATTGTCACATAACAATTATATTATAGTGTGAGAAAGAATATCATGTTTGGTACAAGAAAAGTTTTCATGAATTTTATTTCATATACGATAAAAGAAAATTTAATCTTATAAATTAAGATTTGTTTTATAAGAGCAAATGAAAAATTTTTTGAATAAACGATTCAGATGACTTAAATTGAACAGTCAAGTCAATTTTACCCAACTTTCAAGTTTAAGTCATGATTCTGACTCTATATAGGTCTACTTTAAAACAGTGAAAATCTTTCTTTAGATTCTTCAGATGACGATAAGAGAAAAGTTTTTTGTTTCGGAACATGACTAGATGTCTAGAAGATTGGTATTTTAAATGAAAATTTCTCGAGTTCTCTATCTTGCCGAACATTTCGCCATCAATATAGTTCGGACTGAAGAGACTATCTGATCTGATGTTTTTGGATTTTTTTCTTATATTGTCATCATTTTTATATAGGCTTATGCTAAAAGAACTTATTCTGAAATATATAACTCTTGCAGAGAATCAAATTCAAATGAAAGGTAGACATATTCCATTTCGTTTGATATTATTTTTATAGTTATTTCCTGGTTACATCTATGGATTATTTGTTATTTTCTCACTGTAATCAGTAATATGATATATAAATATTTTAAACATAGACTTAAATTGATATAACCTAAGAAAAATATTTCTTTTACAAATAACAAAAAAATTTATCAAAGTAAAATACATGTGTATTAGTATGATGCAAGTCAGTTGTGTCATAACAAAATAAAAACGTTCAGAAGAAAATATATTTTAAAGCGTCATAATGACTAATAATTCGATCAAGTCGCCTTGTTAACAACTCTCATAGATTCCTTAAATGACAGTTACTACAGCTTTCTCTATATTGAAATCAGTAGTATCAATAAATTATAGATAACAAATATAACAATTTGAGACTACATGAGTCTAATACATATTCATTATTGCTTGCATGGACAAGGTTACTAATTATTTTTCTTGTATATCCAGTATCTATGTGCATCATTGTTTCTTTGATAATAAGAGCAACAAAAAGACAAAGCAGAAGGAGAGCGGGAGAGAAAGAAATTCTATTGTATCTATTGTTTAATAGTTCTTGAAAATGGGAAAGAAAACTGCTGCAATCATTGTTTTATTTTTTCTAAATTGACGAAATTAAAACCATATGCTTTCCAAATAATAGTTTTACAATTTATTTGTACATTAAATAATTGAATAATGAACCTGAAAAGTAAGAAAGTAAAATTATATATGAGGTGAATTGAGTGTCGTGTAAGAATTTCATTCATTTGGCTGAATCAGTGAAAACATGTTCTCTATATTTTTTTAAAAAGTAAATCTTAAAAGTGATAAATACGACTGGTGTTCCTTGAGTAATTTTTTCAACAGAAAAAAACTTGACTGTAATCATCGGTAGTATCAGCAATCAAAGATGACATCTATTGATAGAACAACTTATTTTGTTATTCCTATAATAGCCAATCAAGATCAACATAACATAACCTGTGCTAGCATCTCCAATAATTCTCGTTCGAAATAAATCAAATAGTTCTATCTTGTTAAGTTTCAACAAAAATAGCAATAAGTAGAGAAAAATACGAATATAACCAGAAGATCGATAATTGATACAACTTAAGTTATTCATAGTTTCATCTTTATGAGCATATTTTATGTTTTTTTTTTTTATTTGTTCTAGATAAATGTTTCGTCTCGTTGCCACACGTATTATATCTACTGGTAGAATACAAATAAAGTTTCCAGGATGTTTATCTTATTCATCTCGGCGTTTTCTACAAAATTCTACATCTCAATCGAATGATCATCTTGTTACATCAACAATTTCATCAGTTGATACAAACAAAAGTGAAGAATCTAGTCAAAAGAAGTATGTTTCTTTAACTACGAATAAAGTTTTCATTGAAGGTTTCATGTATATTTTATTAACCAAGATTTATCGTTTTTGTTTTAGTAAATCAGCATCTCTACCAAAAATTTATACGCGTAAAGGCGATCGAGGTACATCATCTCTTTTAAGTTCTGGTACAAATCGTTTATCAAAAGATTCATTAGTATTTAATGTACTTGGTACTATTGATGAACTATCATCAACAATTGGTATTGTTATTTCAACATGTTCTTTCCCTTCAATATCAAAACAATTAGAAAACATTCAATGTGCTCTATTTGAAATTGGTTCATGTGTTGCTGCTGAAAATCGTTCATCTCGTTTTACATTCAATAATATTACATTAATAAAACAATTAGAAGAAGAAATTGATAAAATGACAGATGAATTACCACCATTACGTAATTTTATTTTACCTGGTGGTTCTAGTCAAACAGCATCGTATGTTCATTTTTCAAGAGCAGTCTGTCGTAGATGTGAACGTTTATTAACAAAATGGTCAAACAATCAAATTGAAGAACAACAAGAAACAGTGATGAAAATTTATTTAAATAGACTTAGTGATTATTTATTTACATTAGGACGATATATAACATTTAAAGAAGGACATAAAGAAATCTTATATCATAAAAGCAAATAAATAAATAAATAAATTCTTTCTTTTATTTTAGATGTCATCTTTAGGTTTATTTGTATCTCGACTACATATTCCTCTCATTCGTCGTTATTTAGCGACACAAACATCAAATATTAAACCACGAAATGATTTACCTTCGAATTTACAACAATCAAATGATCCAACAGTGATGCCATTACTTAATCCAAATGAATTATCAGAAACTGAACAAATATATATAAAACGATTTGAAGAACGACATATGAGAAATGTTGAAAGACGTACACGAGAACGACGACGAGCACGATTTATTGGATTATCATTTGGAGCTTTAGTTATTGCTATTTATATTTATACAATTAAACGTGTTCGACAAGAAACATTTTTGGATGATTTTGAAGTACCTGAACCACCACCACAAAAGAAAGCTACTGAACATGATTAAATTGTTCTTGTTTTTTATTAAAGTTTTTTTTCATTCGAAATAAAATTTAGTTAACGTCCGTTAAATTTTTCTTTTTTACTTTTATCTTTTTTCAATATATGATTTTGCAACAATTATTAAACAGATAAAATTATATCTATGAGAATGTTAGTTTTATTAATCTGAAACAGTCTTTTGTCTTAGTGATAAAAACTTCTTTTTTTTTGTTTTAATAAATAATACTATTACTAAAGTTACAACACATGAGTAAAACAAAATACTGTTTAAAAGGTTATTAAAGAGTTTATATTAACTATAATAACAACTGATGTTTCATTTCGATAGGATAACCATAATTGAAATTAAATGACGTTAATCAATGAACTTTTACAGTTTTATTTATGATCCTGTTATGAATATTGTTTTGTATTGATATTTTAAATTAATAAATGGAAAATATAAATTGAATTAAAAGTATCGTTTATCACTGATCTAAAATTTTTATGATAGATGCTATTCTGTGTTTTAGTCAAAGCGCAATATTTAACTTGATCGACGAAATATTCATTGAGAACTAAAAATTATTAAAAAAAAATTGTTGTGAAAGAAAACTTAACTATACCAAAGAATTTCTTTATTTTTTAGATTGTATTAATTATAATGTTTCAGTTAACATTATGCATATTGAAACCAGATATAGTTCGAACACCTCATCTGTTTAATGTATGTGTAAAATGAGGTAATTTTTTTGTGTTTATTATGATATTTTTTGTTACGAATAATATTTTTCTATTAGGAAATAATTAAATTGATACTTCAACGTCAATTTATTTTTATTAAAAGTAAACGTTTACAATTAAATCGTGAACGAGCTGGAGAATTTTATCGTGAACATCAAGGTTAATTTCGAATTATTTTAATATTCGATTTTAATTTTATCTATTTTATTTAGAAAAATTTTTCTATAGTCGACTTGTTCATTATATGAGTTGGTATGTTTGTTTGTTGATTTTATATTAAATTCATAAATATTTTTTTTCTTTTATTAATTTAGTGGACCCATATCATGTCATATACTTGGAAGAGAAAATGCTATACAAGAATGGAGATCAATGCTTGGCCCAACAAAAATATACAAGTAATAATTCTGTATTAAATGAATGAACTATTTTTTTTTTGTTTTGTAGAACAATATTTGAAGCAGCAAATACGATAAGAGGTCAACATGGTGTAACTGATACAAGAAATTGTGGCCATGGATCAGGTAGAGATATAATCTATTCGATTTTATGAAAATTATTTTATGTATGAAATAGATTCTATTGAAACAGCTCAACGTGAAATAAATTTTTTCTTTCCTGAATTTGACATGAAAACAATATCAAAATATGAAAATATTTCAGTGAACAAATTGATATTTAACCAAGACACTCTGGAACATCAATTATAGTGTTGTTGTATTTGATTAATATAAAAAAAAAAAAAAGAAAACAAAATTTTCTTTATTTTAATTAAATAATCTATTCTATTAATTCAATCAGGATATTGTTTCAAAACATGGATAAGGGTGAGAGTATTTGTCTTCTCTTTATGCCCATTCACACTAATATTCATTGTCTCAACTCATACTTTAGCTTGTTTAATTGTTCGATACTTATTGTTTGCTAAACCTACAAACACGATATTCTTGTTCATCATATGGCTGAATTTGTGTTGTTATATCATCAGAAAAATCGTAGAAAAGAAAAGCGAAGAAGACTTTTTTTGTCTACTTAATCATAAAATTTTCAATTTAATTTTTTCGATGACAATTAAATCAACATTCGAGAAGTTCCTTTTATGTAATAAAAACACTATATTTTTATATGTATGGTCAAAAGAATAATATATAATATCATAGAAGCAAGAATAAAAACATAAAGAATGATTAACAACTTCATGAATATAATACTGAAAATATCGGCTCTATTTTTCTTATGTGAAATTTACTGAACTATGTTGTCGTTGAAAAACATCAACATCATATTACATTTTATTTATTAATCTCTCGCCATTCTCTAAAACATCGCATATTAAACTTTAAGATCTATTCGTATTTGTATTATGTGAATTTCAAAGTCAATTAATAGTTTTCAGAATAATTCCTTTAATTATATTATTAAAGAGGTAAAGTATTAACATAACAGTCTACTCTCCTGTATGAATCTGTAAATATATTTTTCTTTGGATATTTGTCTCTTTGATCATGCGTTATTAAACATTCGTATTTGTATATTCTTCGAAAATTTTCATATTTAAATGTATCTTACAAAATACATATTAAAAATAGATTCTTTGAGATAAGATTTTGAATTTATTTGATTCCTTCAGTTAAATTCAAATTGGCCAAATAAAAATACTCATTGTTTTTTTCTCTATAACTTCTTTTTTCTTTCTTTTTTTTATTCTACTCGTTCATTCTTATATATTATTATGCAACGAAGCAAGTAGGTTTTTGCGTTTCTTTCAACACGATGCGATACACGTGTTGTCTACTTACATAACCTATGCGACATATGCGGGATCATTATAGTTATTTTACACTTGATGACAACAGAACATTTTATTGAACTTTTAGATAGAATGATTTTTAGTTTGTCAAGTCTTGTTTTCAGATCATTTTTTTCTTCTTTTGGTACAATGGCTTCAGCTGTGCCAGCTCAAACTCCAAATATTGCAAAACATCTTGATAAAAATGAACTTTATCAAATTGGTCCTAATTTTTGGAATGTTCGTGGTCGTTTTAAAATTTTAAAATTAATTGATATTGGAACACAAATGTCAATAATAAAATTACGTAATGGAAAATTTCTTGTTATTGATACAGTTGAAATGAATGATAGTCTTCAACAAGAAATTGATCATTTAACTAATAATGGAGAAAATATTGAAGCTGTTATTGGTACACATCCATTTCATACATTATCATTTTCAGCTTTTTATCAAACATATCCAAAAGCATCTTATTATGGAACACCAAGACATTTGCGTCAATTAACAGATATACCATGGCGAGGAGATCTTAGTGATTGTAATATTAGAAAAAAATGGGAACCAGATATTGAAATGCGTATTCCAGCAGGTTTTTATTAGAACAATAATTATTCTTCAAATGAAAATAATTTATCATTTTAATCATAGGAGCTGAATTTGTCAATCCACAACCTGAATCAACAAATCATTTTGTTAGTGTTTTTGTTTATCATCCAACATCTCGTACTCTTCATGTTGATGATACAATAATGTATGCTGAAAAACCTGGTTTTTTACTTAAATTATTTGGTTATAAAGATGGTGCACTGGCATTTCATCCATCAATTAAAAATTCTGGTCTTTATCCAACAAGTGATGCACCATATTTATTTCGTGATTGGATGCGTAAATTACTCAAAGATTGGCCTTTTGAAAATATTTGTTGTGCACATTTGGGTGTTAAAATGGGTGGTGCACATGCTGATGTTACTACATTACTTAATAATGCTGAATCATTATTTGTTAAACTTAGTGAAAAAAATCGAAAAAAAAATCCCGGAGATGCAATACCACCTGATAATCATCCAAATATGAATGTTAGTGATAATGAATGTGGATAGTTATACGTATTTCTAGTGTTCTTTTTTTCTAAAACAAGCTATTTGTATGTTGCTTTTATTTTAATGACACTAAATATTTAATTTTGCATATCTCTAATATTTTTTATATTTGACTCAAAGAAATAGAGATAGTACTTATGAAAAACATATGATAATTAATAAGCACAAATAGATGATGTATCTGTTTGTTATATGTAATATATGATACAGTCAAGATAACAAAAGATTTTCACAAAAAAAAACATGTATGAAGCCATATTTCAATTCATAGTGACTAAACGACAATAATACAAGTAAACAATATCAGAACTTTTGGTTCATCTTCGAACTATTACCTTTTATACTAATGAGGAAAGTCTTTCAAGTATCAAGCGTGAACATCGTGACTTATGATGGTCACGGTCACGATCATGACCGTAAATGATTTTGTTTTCAAATTCATAACCATGACCTTAACTGAAATATACTCAAGTATACTGAAATCGTCACATATTCTATGTTTGTATTAACTACATTAGATTTTCCACTACACAAAGAATATAAATATTCTTTACTTACTTCGATAATTTATTCATTTTATTTTTCTCAATCAGAATAACTATAAATAAAAATGACAAAACATAATATAAATACATAGGTTTTTTGTTACAATTATCCTTAAATAAAAACATGCATATGTTACTATTCCTTTCAAACATATGAAATTAATTAAAAACAGTTTTCTTCTTTATCATGTTTTTTTGTCTTTTTTGAATTATTACTAAAGTAAGATATATAATTCTTCTCTAATCGCTTCAAAATTGTAACTGAAATATATTTCTTGATAATTAATTGTATTAAATTCAACTTTTCAAAGAGTTTTTAAACTACAGTTCAGATGTTCATTACTTACTAAAAAAAATTCGTTTCCTTTTCTCTTTCTACAACAACATATTTTTCTCGCTTTGACCCCAATGGAACCAATCAGAGCTGAACACTTGACAGGACGTAGCCAGACAGCAGAAAATGACAGAAAAAGTTGTCCTGTGCTGATTTGTACTTTAGGGTTTGATAAATTAAAATTAATATGCAATCGATTATTATACAAGAAAAAAAAACAATACACTATTTAATAAAAATATAGTTTTTGTTTTATATTAATTTTTTTTCTTTGCGTAATTTTTATCATCAAGTACTTTTTCATTGTTTTATTTAATTTATTAATTGCATCTACTGTGTGTTAATATAAAAATGATAAAAAAAACATTACAATTTTATATAATTTTTATACTTATTTATTTCCTAGGATGAACATATCATTAAAATAATAATTCAGGATACGTCTATATCTTTTTCTGTATTTACAATATTATTTATTAATGAAAGTCTAAGTTGCTCTATTTAAAAATCATTTGCAATAAATTAGCTAGAAGATCATCGATAAATTAATATGTACTTTATTAATCGAAAATCCGAATGAGAATTCTTACTGTCCTGCGCCTATCTCTTATTGCTATTGATATACTGCATTTTTTAGGGTATTTTTAAGCTAACGTCGTAATCTTTGCTAGGGACACTAGCAAAAACTCATTTTCGGATTTCAGGTTGAATCTTTTTATAGAAGCAAAGTTTAATATGAAAGTTTAAGATGATTTCGTTGTACCTATCGTAAGATATAGTTATGATAAAAGCTTTCATAAAAAGATTTATCACTTTTTTTTGAATATGACATTTATGAATATTGATCTTGATATTTTTTTTTTCGTTTTTTTTAATAGCATAGATGCTTAGTCGAAAAGATTCGACAGAAATTAAATTATTATTTGAAAAATTGATTTTTAAATATATTTACAAGATCTACTATGAACAGAAAATAATCATTCATATGTTATATTATATCTTGTTTCTGTTGACATTCATATAGAAGACTTAAACATTCGAAATCATATAGTTAAATGAATTTTTCTCAGTTCATTATATTATTGAAGATTTCTCATATACACATCTATATTGGATAACAAGGCAAATGCATATCTGGCACAGAATCCAAATCATACCATATACAATATCACAATACACAAATAAAGACTTAAGTAAATTAAGAAAAACTATTCAAACAGTCAGATCTAAGAAATTTCATCTACGACCAATATTGAAATCTATATGTAATTGTTTTCTCAAAAACTACGAAAATATTCAAGAATGAAAGATTCAGAATAGCACAATACATAAATGAGAAAGATTTTTTTACATCATGAAAAATTACCGATAAACATCAAAAACTTGCTAGTAAAAACATTATCCATTTTACTTGATCAGAAAACTAACTCAATTTTGCATGATAACTTTTGATCTCAACCAATATCGGTTTCTTCAAAAACTGTTTTTCCACATCTCAAATAAAAATATCTATAAATAATCTAAGATCTTTGAATAAATCAATTGCAATCTTGTTGATTTCCTCTTCAACTTTACTATCTTTCCACATAATTCTAAAATTGATCTCATATTGGTACTCAGAACTAGCTGAGCAAAAAAGTGAACGACACAAATGTACATATAACACATTCTAATCAAAATATATCTTGCATTCAAACTCAATTAAAAACTACTTCTAACAGACGTAACATACAAATAGACCATGCTCATTTATCTAACTACATGATTCATCAAAAAGCTACCGCTCGAAACTTGCATGATCGGTTCGATTACCCGCCATTCCTACCACCGCAAATCTAATCTAGTTCTTGCTGTGCCATTTTGTTCAAAAAGGGGAAAAAAAAGGTATCAATTCAGAGCCTAACACAAACACCAATTCCATAAAGATAACGGTGACGTAAACTGCCGTGAGCAGCATAAAAATGTCGGAAAACGGCGCCGTTTTCCGTAAGCTCGTAAAACGGTGAAAATAGTGTGAAAAACGATAGCCGTTTTATAGCCCTTTCAAGCTTTTAAAGGGTGGTTAAAGGTGTGAGTGTGAGTGCGGATGTAGGCATAGATGTAGATGATGGTGTGAGTGTAGTCTGTGTGTTAATAAGGAGAAGACCGACCTCAATCCCACACACTCACACCCACACCCGTGTTGCTTATTTTCATTTATGTGTCGAACATCGTAGCATCTTGAATAAATATGCTGCTTGAATTAATAGAAAAAAAAACTCAAGTGTTTTTTATTCAATTTAATGATGCACGAACGAATTTAGAGAGTATTAGACATGGATAAATGGTTAATTTCCTACTTGAAAAATATAAATTTCTGTTTCTGTTCTTCCTAACAGTATTATTTTGGTTGATCCTACTTTTTAGCAATGCTCTCAATAATTTGTATGTCTTCTTGCGATTTCTTCGTTTATATCCCAATGCATATATAAGAATATAGTTGCATAAAAATGAAATATAGTTAAGTTCCCTTTTTTTAGATTTTCATACTCAACGAATTTTGTTGGAGAATGTCGATTCTACAACTGGACGTGCCACATATCAGCAGAGTAAGTAGAAATAAATATTTCTTTTTTAAATTTTCATAGTAATATAATTTTTTAAATATTGGTTTTATATACGAAAAAATATATTTGTTTGTTCGTTTTTATCCATTACAGCAACGAAGACCGAGTCAAGTAGCTATAGCAGAATTTAAAGATTTAACAAAACGAGATGCATTGACACGACTTCAAAAATCGTTAAATGAACTAGTGGCAACTGCTAAATCTCATTCACAAAAAGTTTGTTTTTTATATTATTAATATTGATAATTTAATATTTTTTTGTATATTAATTAATTTAAAAGCATGTTCAATCGGAACTTGATGGTTATGAAGATTTATTTAGTCGTTATTTACGCGAGAATGATGAATCATCAATTGATTGGCAAGAAATTTTACCACCACCAAAAGAAACAGTATGATCAAATTTTATATATTTATTTCTTATAATTTTTTGTTAATTTAAGATAATTCCATATAAAAAATTAATTGAATCCGATCTTGGTAATCCAAAAGATTTATTAAATAAATTAATTGTTGTTAAACTTAATGGTGGTCTTGGTACAACAATGGGTTGTAAAGGACCTAAAAGTGTTATTTCTGTACGAAGTGATCTTACTTTTCTTGATATAACATTGCAACAACTTGAAGTAACAGTTTAAAAACAAATAATAATTCAAGATTTTTTTTTTTTGTTTCATTTTATTTAAAAGCAACTCAATCATACATATGGTTGTGATGTACCATTGGTTTTAATGAATTCATTTAATACTTTTGAAGAAACAGAAAAAGTTCTTCAAAAATATGGTCATGTTTCTGTTAAAATTTATAATTTTAATCAATCAAAGTTAGTTTTCATAAGAATTTTATTAAACTATACAGTAGTTCAACATAGAACTTTTCTCATAAGATAGACAAGCGTTTCAGTACCCAATAAACGACATTTTACTGGTTTCAAAACACATCGATCACATTCCTTATTTTATGATACTAAACTGTATAATGACTTTATATAATATATCTATTATAGAAGAACTAAGTATTCAGAAAAATGATGATGTATCAAAGTTGACTTCTTATTGATTTCAATTAGTTATGAAAATAGTATCGAGTCTGATAAGACTCATACGATGTTAGATGACACAGATATTATAAGATCCGCTTAGTGGATATCAATTCTTTCTATATAAAATAAATGATGCCATATGCTCTTGTATATACTTGGAAAGTTAATGCTCAATTGAAAACTGTGGTTAGTCAAAGAGTGAATTCGAATTTAATATAATTTTCAGAGACGATTTTAGTTTAATGCACCAATCGAATAAGAATAGGGTTCAATAATCGAAATGCCAGATGCACACTCGATACCCATGTAAAGAAAAAAAGAACTTCTTCTATAATCATACGATTTTCAATCAAAAATTAAAGAAGAAATAATCAGAAAATCATCATTAAATTGACCGAAATAATCGATTTGATGATTCTTTCTTCTGATTACTGAAGAAAGTTCTTTTACATGGATAAATACATATTTTCAATATAGTGAACTATACAAAAATATCATGAGTTCATCAATAATTGTCAATGAGATACAAAACCGACGTTTTGTTTGGTAAATACGTAAGAGAATTACGCGCTTCGCTTACATTACAGGAGCCATTTCTTAATTCTGATTGATGCATTAAATTCATCAGTGTAAACTTGATTCAAAAATAATACCAAATTGTCTTTCTAGTATTGACAAGGCCTGTGTAGGTTTTTAAAGGACGATTTACTTCATTTGCTACTTTAGGTATTTTTAAGCTCTATTGTATACTGCAGATATCTTGATAGATAACGTCACCTATAAACATCTTTAAGGTATAGAATAAAACTTGGTAATCAAAGAGCTACGGATCCAGGTTTTAACGGAACCAGACCCAAAGTTTTTCCATCTATATCTTCCATTCTATGTGCACATAAGCAAGTGAAGAATCAAGTTTTTAGCTATTTCATGGTTACTCTCAGCAGAAAAAAACGCGGAAAGGACTCATGATTCCCTATTGTTGATCTTTGTATCATTAACTCGAGGAAGTCTTCCTTTCAAGACCTCTACATGTCCCATTTCTTTGATGAACACCTTTTAATTATCTCAGAACTTTAATATTTTAACAAATAACTGAAAAATTATTATTAAGATATCCACGTATTGATCGCGAAACTTTATTACCAGTGGCAACAAGTATTGATCATTCAAATAATGCATATTGGTATCCACCTGGTCATGGTGATGTTTATCAATCATTTTATCAATCGGGTTTACTTGATCAATTTATTGAACAAGGAAAAGAATATATGTTTTTAAGTAATATTGATAATCTTGGTGCCACTGTTGATTTACGTAAGATCAATCTTTTAATTTTATTTGTTTCTATTTAATATATTTAAACGAATAGATATTCTTAAACATTTATTAAGTGATAAAATAAAACATGAATTTATAATGGAAGTAACTGATAAAACACGAGCTGATGTTAAAGTAAGAATAAAGTATTTTCTAATATGGAATTGATTGTTTTTATTGATAAATAGGGTGGAACACTAATTGAATATCAAGGAAAATTACGATTACTTGAAATTGCTCAAGTACCAAAAGATTATGTTGATGAATTTAAAAGTGTCAATAAATTCCGGTAATAGGAAAAACAAAACATAATAACTAAATTATTCAAATTGTTTTTAAGAATTTTTAATACAAATAATTTATGGGTAAATCTTCCAGCTATAAAACGTGTTGTCGAAGAAAAGACTTTACAAATGGAAATAATCGTTAATCACAAGGTGAATATTTTAATTAAATAATAATAAAAAAACTGAATATTATTTCTTTAAAGACAATGGATAGTGGTCTTAATGTAATTCAATTAGAAACAGCTAGTGGAGCAGCTATACAAAGTTTTTCAGGAGCACAAGGTTTAATATTTATAGTAATAATAATATTTATAAACAAATGTTTCTATTAGGTATTAATGTTCCACGTTGTCGTTTTCTTCCTGTTAAAACAACATCAGATCTTTTATTGGTTATGTCAAATTTATTTACACTTAGTCGTGGTAATTTAGTTATGAATCCCAAACGTTCATTTCCTTCGGTACCATTAGTTAAACTTGGTACAAGTTTTATAAAAGTATAGTTTTTTTTTAATTTTTTTTAATTTTATCTCACTTTATTTTATTTGAACAAAAAGGTTAAAGATTTTTTATCTCGATTTCAAAGTATACCTGATTGTCTTGAACTCGATAGTCTTACTGTAGCGGGTGATGTCACATTTGGTAAAGGTGTTACATTACGTGTATGTTTTATATCTATATTTCTATTATTTATTGATTCTTATATGCTTAGGGTACGGTTATTGTAATTGCAAATCATGGTGATCGAATTGATATCCCTGCCGGTTCTATACTTGAAAACAAAATTGTTTCCGGAAATTTACGTATTCTCGAACATTAATTTGTTTAGTTTTATCCTTATGCGCTGTCATTATTCTATTTTATTATATTTATTAGAAAACCTCTTTTAGCAAAAAGTTATGAATTATTCTTTTTTGAAACAAATAAATAAATAACATATACTATTGCATGCTTGTCGAAAAATGCTTATTTTCGTATTCATTGTAGGATAAATATAAGCATACTCAGGATTTTTATGACTCCATTTCCACTTATTAAATGGGCTGTTGTCTTCTTTAAGCCAACAAACAAACCACTTGCTTGTCAAATTAAAACAGGAGCAAAAAACCAGTGAATTTTTCAAGAAATCTGCAAATCTTCAAGAATTTTGTTTATTTAAACTGTTGACATAAATGAGATTTATCATTTTTATATCAATTCGAAATAAAAATAGATCAGAGAAATTATTAGTCATTTAGTTTCAAAAATTAGAATATCAACAAATTGTAAGTAAGGAAGTAGCTATGTACATAGCCGATCAACTATATGCATTCAGGTAAATATAATCGATAACTAAATATTAATTTATAATATAGTCTTGTATGTACTTCATTATTCATATAAATCAAATTAATTAATTATACGTAGCTGATTGCACATAGCCAACCAACTAGTCGATCATCTATGTGCACTCAGCTAGGTATAATCAATCATTTTTATTTCTTTTAATAGCGAAGTAAATATAAGACTATATTATAGGTTAATATTTAATTATTGATTAAATTTACCTGAGTGCACAGAGTCGCTTCCTTTTTTTGAATCTACAACTGATAATATCATGCACATAGCTGTAAGCCGTGCTGCGAACGAGGTTGAATCATCAACTCTTCAATCGCTTTTATGCTCAGATTTTGTGCATTAGGTGTGGGCGTGGACATGGCTATTCTCCTTAATAACACTCGTACCTACTTCACACCCATACTCTAATATGTACAAGAACTGGATGAAGACTGACGAGAAATCGAATATTTGAACATCGCAATCTCATATCTTACTAACTATTCCTCATTAATAACTTTTGCAAATAATTTTGACTGAATGTATATGAATATAAATAAGAGGATGGACGTTGTTTAACTGAAATAGTAGTTTCATTGATTCCTGTTGCTCTAGGTTTCAATTAATAGAAAGCCTGAACCAACATATGATTTGTCTCATCGAATCTGAGCATAGTTCTTTGCTTCATACGTTTAATACGTAAATAATATTAATCTTCATTAATGAGTTTAGTGACGCTAGCCATGAGTCTATTCATATCAGCAGAAAGAAGTGCTCGTTTAATATGGTTCCTTAAGGTCGCAAGATTAGTCTTCAAGTTGTTTCTGAAAAATCTATCGACGTTGTTAATTCAATGTTTTTCATCAGCACCAAATGTAGCCTATTTCACGTGTGTGTGCAGATGTGCAGAGCACCAACAATATGCTAATAATTCATCTCTGTAACCAAGAACTTCAGAGAGAAGTCGTTTCAATCCGTATGATTGCGGCTGGCCCGTATAGCCGTGTGGACGTAGGTCTGGGTGCGTCAGCGTGGGCGCCGGTCTTATCCTTAATAACACTTATATTCACATTCATACTCACACCTACGCATACCCACATTTTAGTTGAATCACCAACTAGAACACCATATTTTATTAGATCTGACAACGCTCCATTAAATGCCACTGAAATATTTCCACTATAACATCCCAATTTTGATGTAGAGTCAACGAACCATTCAGACCCTGGACTAGCTATATCAAAAATGACTTTTTCTATGTTTTCTTCAAGTCGAACCATCAATTTTAACATCATTCTTCGACAAAGCTGATCATACTGCACCAGGTGCTGCTGGAATATTTCACCTACAAGATCTACTTTTTGAGTAAGAGACAATATAGCATTCGATCCCTATATTTTCACTATTAAAATTCTTATAAATTTTTTCTTATTACTTTTAGACTTAAATAATCAAAGTAAACAATGTGATACGATAGATTTGCTAACACAGCGTCAAGTGCTGCACAAATCTTTGGTCTATAATGTCTAGTTTTTGAGTTACAGTTAATATATCCATATTGGTCCTATATTTTCGCTATGAAAAATCGATAAAAATTTTTTTTTCCTTATTTTTCAAGTCGAATCATCAATTAAAACATTGTATTTTCTATAGATCTCATCAAGATGCATCACCTACTGCTCAAATATTTAGTCTGCAACATCTACTTGTTGAGTTGAAGTCAATGTATTCATAGCATCACTATTTTTTCATTATAAAAAAATGGGATGTGAGTGTCAATTCGAAGAAAAACAACACTCGTATCCACGCACACACCCTCTTGTGCATTAGTAAAAAACTAATGACAACTACTTTTTATTTTATTGAATTATAATTAGTTGTATGTGGTCGCACCTCATTAAAGAAAAAGTAATAGGCTATTATTATTTTCGAATGGGGATTTTTCTTCAATATAGCTTTGCTTAACCTGGTACTTACGGCTTTTGAATTTGCAGCGTTACGGTTAACAACCAAGGGTTAAGATTTGAATGAAACTGAATTTCAGTTGACGAAAAGTTTCAATGATTTACACTTGTTACAAATACTCAAAGATATCAAAACAAAAAATAATACAATTGTTTTCTATTTCGAAAATTAAAAATTTCTATCATTATGTAGTTTCCAATCTTTGAGAATTAAAACATAGAATATCGTTACGTTCTTTGTTACAATAGCGGATAGATTATGATCTACAGAAAGAAGTAAAATAATACAATTTAGAAAATTACTTTTAGTTCAATGGATAAAATCATATTAACAAAGTTGAAAAGGCATTCAGAGAGAAGATGGTTGATCTAATTCTTAAGAATATCATTTTCATCAAATACTTGCCAATATTATTATATAACTCTAAGTTTGACTCCGTAAAAGAAAATTATTTCATGATTTTTCTATGGATGACGTTTATGCGTATCACTTTATCGCTTGGTATATTTGAATATGGTTGAATATTAATATTTAGTTTCTATCATCATGACTACTGAAACTACTATTACTATTTCTTCTGCAACTGTGACATCAATGAACAATACATCGGTATGTATCAGTACAGTTTCAAATAAGGACTCTAATCAATACACTAAGGACAAGATTATCCATTTATACGAACCATATTTGAACATCGATTTCTTTATCTTTGATTTAGAAAATCATCAAGACTGCTAAAATTTCAGCCAGCAGTTATTTTACCACTTCTAAACTTTACTAAAAAATATTTTAACAAAGTTTTCAAAAATAGAATTCAAATGTCGAAGAACTCTACACTTTGTTTTTTGTCATTTGTTGTAACAAGAATAATTTATACAAAGTATAAATATATAACTTGTGTATTGATTCTAGGAAGCATATGAAACTGTCAGATATAATCATTTTTAAATGAGAAAAATTACATCTAGATTACTAATTTTCTTTTAAAATCAAAGTATTCCAGACAAAAGTTTTTGAAAACTTGAAGAATGATTTCCAAAAACTTTTAAGTTCTTTAAAATCAGTATGCTTCAAGATCATTTGTAATGTATTGTTAATTGAATCAAGAGAATGAGTTCGACATTATTTTTATTTTCTATTAAATGAAGTTAATGTTTGTGTGTATAACTTTTATAGCAATACAAACGACAACAATGACTACAGTATCGTATTTCTGATAAATCCAAGAGAAGAGCTTAGAAAACGAAATCCATAGATGCCAAGCAGTAGTACGTCACCAGTGTTTGATAACATAACGGCTAATAGTGGAAGTACACCTCCATACGATGGTTTCTATGATTTTTATGAAGGTAATACATCAAAAAGTATATTTAACCAACATATTTTCAATCACACAACTTGATTCAGGTTTATTATATTCATCAATTTCCTTTTGGTGAAAAACAATGAATGCATATTTACTTGATACTGTTCAAGTAACACTTATTTTTCTTTCGTCTACACATAATACTATTTCTAGTGTTACTATTGGTCCAAAAGGATATGTAATAGTTTGATGCTTTATAACAGATAATTGGTCGCTTCCTGTAAGCATGCAAGTAATAGATTATGTAATGACATTTATTACAAAATTGGAAAAGCTATACAGATGCATGGATTACCAATAATATATTCTTTTGTTACTTAATCGAAAAAAAAAGATGTGAAAAGAGATTTATATTCATGGTTTGAATAACATTTTAATATGTATATTTTAATGAGGAATTTTTTTCAATATCAATTAAATAATTTTCCATTTGAATATATCTAATCAATATTCAAACTTATTAAATTCAGTGATTGTTATTATCCAAAGATAACAAGAGTATTTTATATCCTCCGAAAAAAGTCAATAAAATTGATTTATATTTGTTTTCAATCGTTTACTGATGTTATTTCAATGACTATTCCTTGTTAAATTGTAAGTCTATACAAGACGAAATTTGAGAAAATGTTTTTTGTCTCTCATACATATGCTAGTCACATATTCTACGATGCATAGAATATGTAAGAAATTCGAAGAAACATATTTGTCCAAAACACACTTCATCCTATGCATTGTATTTGAAAAAGTCAACTTTGTTGATGAGAAATTACAAAGAGTTCAAATCAAAAGATTAAGAAGTAAATAATCAATGTCGAATTTAATATATCTTTTGATTATAACATTTTCATTATCATATTGAAGTGAATGAAATATAATGTTTCATTTTAAATATAAAGAGCACACATTTTATTTTGCCATTTATTTCATATTTTATCTTATAAACTATAAATCATCTATTGATCAAGTACATTATTATATTTTTTCATATGGCACTATTTCCAACACATTTTAAACAATATGAACGAATGACAAATTCATTCGAGTCATGTTCAGTTCATCAATGTCCAAATTTACCAAATTGCATATGCAATCATTGTGATCGTCATTTCTGCCATGATCATTCGCATGAACATGAAAATCGATGCAGTCAAACTCTACCACAATTAATTAATAACATTGATAAACTTGTTGCTCGAATATCATCTATTGAACCATATTGTCTCAAGCAACTTGAACGATGGCGTGAACAAGCTCATCAATCTATAAATTATTACTGTAACAAAAAGGGTCATGATTTAATTGAAAAGACACAACAAAATTTAAAACAAGAACTTACTAATCTTCAAAATACATTAGATGAATCGATTGAAGAACAAAGTGAAATACATAATCAATTTAATCAAATCGATCATGATATTCATTTAATAGAAGTAAAACTTATTGAACTTGAACATCTTCGATTAAGACTTTGTCCATTAATCATTGATGAAAATCTAATTACTTTACAACGTATTTTTCCATTATCTCATCCACATTATACTATTCATATTAAATCTGGTAATGAAAGTTCTATTGCTAGTAATGAAAGATATCTTCTCGTTGAACGAGAAGGAAAATATTTATGTTTATTAGATCGACATTTTACTATTGTCAACGAAATACCATTTAATCATAATGGTGTTCATAGTATTTGTTGGTCATCGAGAATCAATCGATTTATTATTATCACATTTAAAGAAATATATACTCTTGATGATAAAAAACTGATACTTGAAAAATGTCCTATATCATTTAATATTGATTGGTGGCGAGCGACATGTTCCGATGATATCTTATATTTATCATCAGTAGAATGGGGTTCATCAATTCATGAATTTGATCTTCAATCACGATTTGAATTTATTAAGGCATGGCATGCACCTGTAACTTGTCGAGAAGATGAAATTATTTGTGATCTTAAATATAATAATGGTTTTCTTGCTATTCCTATCTTTAATAAACATAGGGAAGAAACTCGTCTTGATTTACGTTCATCAACAACACTTGATTGTATATGGTCAATTCGTATTCATGGACGTTGTCGTTGTTGTGAAGTTAATGGTGATCAATGGTTAGTTATGGATCATGATGATGGTCGATTTTTTCATATTTCAGCTGGTGGACAACTCTTGAATACGGATAAATATGAACATCATCAACGACTTGAAGATATAACAACTTGGGATGAACATACTATTGTTGTTTTAACTAAGAAAACAATCAATTTACATGAAGTTCGTTAATAGTGTCATGTTTAATTAGACTTTTAATGACTTAATTTAGTATAGAACTTTTAATTAATATATTCAGAAATAAATTGAATAAATTCACTTAAGGAACTTAATATTTAGAATTATAATTTGTATATTGCTGTCAAATGATAGTTTGTTTTCAGTTTATTTCTAAGATTTTATTTGTATGGTAATATTCAACTCGATACCAAATCTAAAATCTGCAAAAAATAGAACAAATATCTCGGTTTTAGAAATGACACGAAAATCTTCGATCAACATGTTATGCTTAAAAGCACATGGCATTGTGGCACCTTTAATATTAGTATTGATTCTCTATTTGTGAAGAGATGGTCCACATCTTATTATAGAATAATCGTATTAAACTTATGGATGATGACTTTCGAATTTCAATTTGTACTATCACTTTTCTCTATCGAAAATCCGAAAACTATACTCTTTACTTGTTGGCAAGATAAAAATAAATACTAAGGTAAGTTAAGCCGAACTTAACTTGACTTGTTCAGCTTTTTTATTAGTTCTTTTTTGATATCATAGAAATGATATTAATCAAAAGTATATTAGAAGAAAAAAAAGCATCTTATATGATTTTCTTCTTATTCAAACAATGAAAGTGAGAAGCAAATACATTCCTTAACCATTGAAGAACTCAACAATAAAATAATAAGTTAACATCCATCTGTTAATATTCTCATATTGATGATTTACTTCTTTTCTTTCTCGTCTGCAATAAAAAACGTGTGTATTACATTGATACTTCAACAACTCCTCCTATAATAAGAAGGATTGAAAGGATAAAAGAAAAAGGAAAGAAAAGCTTTAGTTGTCATGAAGTCAACACCATGTTGTATGTCTGATGTCGGAAAGAAAATAAGTAATGATATTCCTTGATATTTCGGTCAAGAACAAAAGCAATACTAATGAACGTATGTTATTTGCAAGAATGATGATAGATGATAGCGGCAGAAAAAGAACGTGGCCATTTCATTCTTTCATATAACACATGTGAAGCTTTTCCTGGATAATCAGTAATAGATAGAGAAACAACATAACCACATTGAAAAGAATAACCAATATAAAATACTATCGACTCATCTAGTTCCTTGGTAAGTATTCTAAACTTGCTATACTTGATATAACTTAAGAAATAAAGTAACTTACTATATTTAAATTACTTTATTAACTAAAATATGAAAAATATCACATATACTTGCAGATAACGAGATTGTTTATATCTGAAATATTTGATTCTGTCTTTCTCAGAAGTGGTTTCTTTCTTAAAAAAATGTTTTATCACCTTATATAGACCTATAACAGAACATTGATATAATCAACAAAACTACACTTAAGTTTTTTCAACTGTCCTTTTTTAGATACAAATATGTTAACTATCATCAACCGTCTAGTTATATTATTAACGATAATTATCACTTACCAAGGATGTTGTTGTAAATCGATAAGTCTTCGAGTTTATCATGAATCTTCAGGTGTTGATTGTATTTGGCAGGGTGATGCACCATTTTGTTTTATTGGTTCTGGTTGTCCATTAAAAATGACCACTGTCAAAACTGATAAATACGGTGATAGTGATTATTGTTTGATTGGATATAAAACATATTGTTGTATGCATCGTATCATTTAAAAGACTTTTTTTTTTTTTTTTTGTAGAGAAAATAAAAATTGAAATAAATTATTAGGTGTTAATTTTAGGTTAGTCTTAGAATATTCAATATATGAAGCTTTATTTTAAAACTTATAATAATCATGTTAATTATGCCTTCAAGAATATGGACTTGTATTATGAATATCATAATCAAATCAATTAGACACTAATAATCAACTTAGAAGAAAAAAAGACTTAAATTGATAAGAGTCTTTCGACCGACGAAAGTATTTTCTAATTTAACAGATATATTTTATTTCTTCATGTTCTTCAAATCTTTGAAAAGTTGAAAATTATTAGCTGAACATTAGAATAATAATTATGTGTTATAATTACAATGGATGGCTAGATTTTCCTCTATATTTCAATAGATATATGTAATGAATGGTAAATTTTTCAATCGATTTTGATCCTTGATCTTGTAAATTTTATTGGTTTGATTTTTATGAAAGTCACTTTCACTTTTGGGAACACTTACAGTAAGTCTTAATGTTGAACAAGTATTTTATTTTAAATGAGCAAGTTATCACAAGAAGTTAATCGTAAGAAAATCAAATCACAAACTGTAGAAAGAATCAAAGACTAAAAAAATACAGTGTAATATGTCAAAAACAAATATCAATTATGAAAGTCAAAAAGTAAAGTGCTCATTGAACATTGAATAAATGATCAAATTAAATTATTAGCTTTCAATCACTATGAGTATGTGTTTTTTCAAATCTATGAAATTCTAATCATTTTTCTTCTGAAATTTTACATGAATAATCTTTTGAGTAGACAATATACTTTTCGTACTTCATTCTTGCTATTCAACTTCATTTACGTTCGCATATTACTCAATATTTTAACTATCTATCATTTAAGAAACTAATGTAGAAATTTTTAATTTAAATATTAACACGAAGCCATATCTATCAACATATTCGTATATGAGTTTCAAGTAGTTCACTTGATGTCTCAGAAAAAAACCATTATTTATGGTTATAGTAGTTAATTCGACATGGAATATTCATTTTTTGAGTCCATGAAATCATTCAGTCAAATTATTTTTGTACTATCAGCAGCTACAAACAAGCCTAGACATTTTAATTAAAGTAGAATGGTTCAACTCTTCCTACAATTCCATACTGCTTTATTTTTCACAGAAATATCTATCAAGATATAACTCTAAATAATATTGTTTGTATCAATCTCTTGTTCAAAATAAAAGATATTCATCAGTATACATATCATTACCATTTAAAAACACTTCTATACTTTCCAATTGATAAGAAACTCTCATTTTTTTTCATCATTAATTAAATACTCAGGAAATTTTTTTTCAATTATTGATCACTTAACTGCTAGTATTCGTTCGATATTGATGATGAACATCATGTATGAATTAGATACTTTTCAAAATTAAAAAATTGCTCAGTCTGTTACAAAAGAGTGATCTAAAGTCAGTATTAGTATTGAATTTTACTTGTGCATGTAAGTAATCAAAGACAAATGAAGAAAAATTACCAGTGACATTCAACGAATGATCACATAAGAACTCATATGTCTTATGATATGAAAAATATAAAAGTTTATTTGTCTATACTCACTGTTTATGTGAAAATGAAAATTTCAAAATAATTCACCTTAATTCAAGTTAGAAATCAATGCTTTGATATTGATGAAAACTAATATCTTTTATTGATTTACTCTTTATGATGTTCTTTAGCTTAGAAAATCAATCAAATTTTTTTGTACATGAGAAAAAGAAAAACTGAAGAAATACTTTCTTTTAGTGAATAATTTCTGATAGTTATGACATCATCTTTTTCAGGTACTAAATCAAAGTACATGAGTAGTACAATCATAATCAAATTCAATCATGTAGGGAAAGATGCATCTGCTTATTATGATTCATCGTTTCAAAATATGAATTAGTTCGTCTAGCTTGTATCAACATGAGTCATTTATTATTGATTATGTAAGCTGTCCTTCGCTTCTCTTTTTTTCTCTGACCTGTTCTCTCTTCTTTTCTCTTCTTGGAGTAATATGCTGTGACCGATGATCGTAACGTTCGTTGAAAGTGAACATGAGACCCATAAATCTAGTATAAATTGAAGTTGTACACTTCAGATGAATCATTTGTGTTACCAATACATATCTATTCGAAATCGTTACATTTTAGTGAAGGTAAACTTTTACTTATATTGATGGTTCAATATCAGCATAAATTATGATTAAGTAACAGTTAATATTAAAGTTGTTAAGTAGAAAATTACACTAATTTATTAGTTTGATTTGTCATATTGATTCAGTCATTGCTAAACATTTTTATTTTTCATATTTATATGAGTGAAATATAGTTTTATTGTGAGGATTTAACATAAGTATTGAATAGAAAAACGAATGTAATCAATGATCAAAGAAACTGCCTTTTTCTTTGACCGTGATGATATATTCATGTCAATTACATTCTTATATTTGTTCTTTTCGTTCCAATACTTATGATTTATGTAAATGAAAGTAGTGATAAAACGGTCTTATAATATTTAAAAGAGTGAAAACTAGACATGTGTACGCTAGAACCTCCTACCAACCTCAGGAAAGACCATACAACATTGACATATTAGCTGTCTGAATATATTGGCGTTATGATCTATGCTGATAATATAGATCATACTAAATGAATCTGCTTCTTCTTCTTTTCTGTTTCTTGCTGTTTTCTTTTCATCTTCTCTGAAATCTAGTCGTGTTTTACATATGAAAGATAAAGAATTTCCATAGATTTCATTCAACTTAATTTTTAATTAGTATTCTTTAACTCGAAGCTAACAGCATCAATAAAAACATTATCCAGATAATACTATGAACAGAAACTAAGAAAATGTATTCCGATGCCTTCTTCATGTCGCATATAGAAAAATGATCCGTTGATGTCATGGAATCATCAGTTCGATATTCCCTGGTAAAGAAGAAAAATAGTTCTAGAAGTATTCGATTATCGTTTTCTTTTGCTTAATGTTTAATTAAATACCGAATTATATGTTAAATGAAACGGAAAAAAAGCGAACAGGCATATGTATCTTTCTCTCTCACCTCATGAGTCATGGCTCATGACTCATCTGAGAAAATGACCGTGAATCTGTTCAACAATAGGCAACCTACAATTATCGTCTGCATTAGGACATGCTTGATAAATAATATTTCTTCCAGCTAGAGGCAAATATTATTGATTTAACTATTAAATATATGGTTTCGAAAAAAAAACATCAGCATTTCTTCAATTCAACTTTTTTTTTCAAAGCTATAGCTCATGTTATCATTGGTAACTCATTGAATTATATCCTGAGAGTGATTATTGTTGAAATATATTGTGTAAAATATTTCTTCCTATTTTGATTTAAATTTTGGAACTGTGCAGAATTCGAGAAAATCGACTGTATTTTTCGAACGTAAGAACTGCTTAGTATTGTTATTACTACTTTTTGCAAATGTTTCTTTCTAAATGTCAGATGTGCAGTCTATTGTTCGACTATGTGTCGCGTAAGATCTATAACGTGCACAATGCTTGATAATTATAGTCAAAGTAAAATTCATTATATATTAGGTCATCTCCTATTTTAGTTGCTACGAAAATTAGTGTAAACTAATGCTAAATTGTATCTTATGGACTTCATTCTATGCAGATGATATCCTATCATACCATGAAGTTCTTGATTTTTTATTTAGAAATTCATCGCGCAAATATGAATTGTAAATTATCTCGAGCTTCTCTTATCGAGCTTCGACTTATTCCGACAAAAATGTTCAACGATGATGCACTCTGTCCATGCTGTAAGCGACCTGTAGTCGAGCATCGAGATGAAATAGGTAATTTAACTAATATATCTATCAAGATTAAATTAATCAGCTTGATTTTTTTTATGAATTTTCAAAGGGCTTGGAAAAGTTCCTTTTACATGGCAGAGTCTATTTCCACGCCTTAAACGCATATTACGAAAGAGTGCTGTAGTATCGATGATAGTTGGAACCATTGTGGCTTTCGTTATTCTAGCACTTGGCACTCTGATCAATCATTTAGTCACTACTTATGAGAAAAATCGGCAAGAAATTGGTGATCATTTGGAGAAATACCAACAAAAATCATTAAAAGTTTACTACAATCCAAATGTGCGTACACCAACAAAGAATAACACACAAAAGTACTTTTCCATTGTTACCATTCCTAATGATAACTATGATGATGAAAACTTAGGGCTGTTGTTAGGTTTAATCTCATTCTGTCTTTTTTCATCACTGATATTATTATCGGTGATTTTATGGCGACCTTTTTCATCAAAATCGGCTTCCATTCCATTCAAAAGAGAAGAACATGACGGTCAATCAGGAATCTTAATGCCTGTAAACATGTATCAATCCGTCTTCACACAAATTACTATGAATACCACCGATCAAGTCTAGAGAACACCTTTGCTATTTGTACAAAACGATTGATTGCAATGATTTTTTTTTAATGTTCTTTTCAAAAAACCAAATAAATAAATAAATAAATAAATTCTAATACAGAATTCGCCGTACAGAACTATTAATTTCATCAGATAAAAAAAGAGCAAGTCAATTTCATCGATTTCTCCATTGGTTGAAATTAAAGTTAAAAAATAAAAAAGCTAAAAGAAAAAAAAGTACAGAATTCATTTAATACGATCCATTTTATGAATAACTCTCTTCGGTTAGTTGGCAAACATCAAATTTTTGAGCTATATTTGTCGCTTCAATACTAAAAGGTGCATGTACTAAGATAACTCCGGCTAATGATTTCGATGCATTCTTATCGATCATAATTTTCAGTTTCTAATTCAAGAAGTTAACGTATGATCTAGTTATGAGAACTCTGGACATGATATTCAACTTTTACACGATTACCAGTGTTTCTACCAGTAGATGATAGCATGAGAACAATTCAAATCCATTTTTAAAGCAATGAGCAGTTTTTCTAGACAATGCGTTCTTAAAATGGTGATGGAATGTATCAATCACATCATTGTGAAAGAATTTATATATATATCTTTGCATTACTGGATCTATAGAATGTGAGTGGTGGGTTTCTG